TCGTTCTGCAAAGACTATGGCATTGAGCTTTCCTTGACGTCGGTATACACCCCGCAGTCAAACGGACAGGCCGAGTCTGCCAATAAGATCGTTTTGCGAGGCCTCAAGACACGTGTTATATCTGCACGTTCTAACTGGGTTGACGAGCTCAATAAAGTACTTTGGTCATGTCGAACGACACCCAGCTCGGCCACGGGAGAAACCCCGTTCAACTTGGCATACGGAGCTGAAGCCGTCATCCCTGTTAAGGTCGGTCTATCATCTGCTAGGTCAGATCGTTATGACGATCAGGCTAATGGTCAACTCTTAAGAGAGAACCTAGACCTAATGGAGGAAGTCAGGGAGACGGCTCGAATTAGAAACATGGCACACCAAAGTAGTGTAGCAAGATTCTACAATAAAAGAGTCCGAGCTCGGCAGTTTCAGGTTGGCGACCTAGTATTACGTAAGGCTGGGTTAACTAACACATGTTCCCATATGGGCAAGCTTGCCCCTAACTGGGAAGGTCCATACATGGTGACTCAAGTTAGCCGACCTGGATCTTACGTATTGGCAGATCTGAACGGGCGTCAATTGCCGTTCACATGGAACGTTCAGAACCTTAGAAAATTTTATAGTTGATTTATATTATTGTAGAAAATTTCAATAATGTATGAGCAATTACTGGAAATAGTACACACAGTTTTCCAAAATTCGTTTCAGTTATATTCTTTGTAAATTCATTACATGAGGTGCCCATGAGACTACAAAATATGTTGCCAACAAGCAAATGTTGAAAATGCAAAAATATAAGAAAAAGAAAAGCCTAAATCTAATCGTCCGTTAAATCCACGGGAGCGGACGCGTCAGCACGAGCTGGGATTGAGATGGCAGCAGGGGTGGGTTGAAGAGCAGGAGGAGTACTTGAAGGCTCAGCTTCTTCTACAGGAGCATCACCAGCCCAGGTGTCGAACCTCAACAGATTCTCATACTCCTCTCCTTCCTCAAGGACAGACGGTGGCCATATTGGCAATCCCTCCTCGTTCAGCTCCCAACGAAGCCTCACCGTTGTGTCAGAAGGTTCAACAAGACTCTTCCCTTCTGCATCGAACTCTTCACCATCAAAAAACGCGAGCTCGTTGATTGGGAAGTCCGGCCGGTGCTTCAACACCTTACCACGAACATCATTGTAAATCTCAGTCGTGGTGTTCATGGATGCCACAGCCACGGCGTCCTGGAACATGTCAGCACCAACCAGCCATTCTGCGCCTTGAGCTCGCGCGATGCTAATACAGCGTTGGTGTTGAGCCTTGGCCTGCCTCAGGGATTCCTCTGCGCGGGCAAGATCCTGGTCGGCCACAGCAACCCGCCCTCTTATGGCGTTGAGATCGCCCAGCGCGCCATCTCTCTCAGCCTCTACCTTCTTCCTGAGATCCACCGCACGAACGACCTCATCCATGGCCGCCTGAATCCCACTCTCCTTCTCGGCTTTCGCCTTATCCAGCTCCTCCTGCAGCTGGATGACCTTGTTGGCCAGCTCGTCAGCCCGGCTCTCGGCTGACGCAGCCCTGTTGGCCATCTCTGAGCTTTGCAAACGGTTCACCTCATCCTCCAAGCTCGCCTTGTCTGAGGACAGCCGTTTGCAAGTGTCAGCCAGCTCCCTATTCTGTATTCGAGCTGCTTGCTCGCTCTCGAACAGA